TTGATTTATATAATTTTATAGGGTCAATTTTACTTTCTTCTGCAGGGCGGGCTTCAACTTACCAAGTTTCGGCTAGTGTATGGGAGGTAGTGGGTTAATTAAAGAAATGGTTTTTAGGTGTAGTTGGTTATATCTTTAATAGTTTCGTGTTTAATTGCCCCACCGTCGAAGTAGATTCTTCTGATAGTTTAGTTCATTTTTTTATTTTACTTTTTCATTTTTGATATGTTTATAAAATTTGTATCCGCTAACTATTACTGTTAAATAAAAATAAAAATAAAAATATACGGAATTTGTATACGGAATCTATAGAAACGTACATAAAATGTATACAAAACGTTTCCTTTCCGTATACATATTTCTTATAGGGCAAATCAACAGTAAATACTCCATTCTTGTATTAAAGTATCTGTCAGAAATTGAAATTCTTCAATAATTCTATAATCTCCCAACGATGAGCTGTGATATTGGATTGAATAAATCTTGGGTCAAAGCATTGTAGTATTGCTCTAAATAGTGGTAAAGTTGGATGATTAGTAGATATATGTTTTTCACACATTTCATAAGCTAACACAAAAGCCCTAGAAAATGATGAGATAAATGGTTCTCTATCATAATGTCTTTCATTAAAAATTTGTTCTATTTCATTTGAAACTGGAGAATTCCTTCTTCCTGCTGAAAGAAAAGCTTGAAGGTTTATTATTCGTGAATAAACAAATTTGTTTCGTATTTTAAAGAATTCTAAATCATCAATCAATCAATAATAAAAGTTACAGCTAATAATTTATTTTCTGAGATTAACGTTACAATCTTTCCTTTGTAATTTTGACATTTTTAATCTAGTGGTATGTCATAACTGTATGGTTATTTATCATTACTTCAATTTTTTGTTATTTATGTATCATGTTTCATTTCTTTTATCTTCATTGGGATTATGTATTTTGATTACTTAGTTTTCGTTCTAGTTAGATTGAGTAAAATTTTCATGCTCTGAGTTATTTATTTAACTTTTATTTAGTTGATATGTATGTAAAATGCAGCATGTTCACTTTTTTGAAAAAAACCTTAAGTAATTTTGTATTTTTAATAACAATATTTTCAAAATACCGAATTATGTTGTATTGCTTTATATTATTTGGTGTCTTTTTCTTCTTTAATTTGACTTTTTGAACACAAATTTCATAACTAAAACTTTTGGAACATCATTTTTCAAATGGTCACGTTAATAATAAAAAAAAACTACAATAAAAATAATTTTTACTACATTATTTTAATTTGAAGTAAAAAAAATGTTCTCTTAATTTATCATAATAATAGAGGATGTCCTTGATCTATGTGACGTAACCAATCAGTGTGGCTCTAAAAGATCGATAAAACTTCTAAATTACAAAAGACAATTTGTTCTACATTGACCATTTCAGTATTTCCAATATTAAATTTTTTTACGAAAGAGAAAAGGTAGATCTTCCTCCTCTAAACGTCTTGCTTCCTCTTCTTCTGCGATTAGATGGAAAGCTGTTTCCTTTTTCATTTTATATTTTTTTTTTTTGATCTTTTTATCAAAAAAGGAAAGCCATTTCCCTGTAATATTTTTATTAATAAAAATCTCGTTTAACTAATTTATTCTTTTAAATTATTAAGAAATTATCATTTTGAATGGCCTGCATCATTAATGATCTTAGCCAGCAGAATCAAAAAAAAGAATTGGAATTATATTTATTTATTATTAGAAATTTATTTTAAATTTCATTTACTTAATTAATATACAATAGATGTGAAATTATATCACTGGCGATAATTATCACAGGCCAAATTTATTATTTTCATTGAATGAATAAAAAAATATTTATCAACTTGCAAAAAATTTAAATTGGTAAATTTTATTAAATTTCAAACTAGAATAAATTCTTATCATCCTATTCATCATAATAATTTTCACCTATTAAATTATAATAATATTATGAATGAATAAAAATTAAATTTTTATTTAATTCAAAATATTTAAAATAATTCAAAATAGACGAAATATTTAATTAATAAATCAATATTTTTTTCTTTTATTAATTAAGTTTAATTTTTATAATTTTTTGTCGATAACTTGATTTCTTAGAAGATATAGGGAACTATGCTAATATTATATTTTGTCTTCTGGCAATTATTAATGGCATAATTAAGGCAAGGAAAGACATTATTCGAGGCAAATGTGAAGTGTTATTGGACGTGGATGGCGGGTACTGTGACGGATATGTGATGAGATAACTAATAATCAGATAATTTTAAGGAATGAATGTATTTTTGATTCTCATTTTGTAAAGTTGGGATTACAATAAGAATTTGAAAATAGTGGTAATATGCTTCAATTATATAATTATATTAAGAGCTCACTATTTTGACTTATTTTGACTATAATCTCCACCTTTTGTTTTTCATTTAATGTTATATGATCCATCGTTTAAAAATGCCTCAGCATTATGCTAGAGACATTATTAAGATTATAGTAAAAAGAAATGGGAATTGAATTTTCGTTTGTTTTTGTAAGAGATGAAATAAATTGTGGCAATATTATGATGTCGAGGGAACTTGTTAAGATTAAAGTGAGAAATACTAATAGGTATTAAAGAATGAATCAAGTAAGAATAATTATGAGAATGAATTTTTGCATGAATACGCATATTTAATTTTTTTGAATTTCTTTTTGTAAAAAAAAAGTGAATTTTTTTGCTATTTCTCCAGTAATTTCTGACACTTTTTTTAAGAAAAAAATGATTTAGAATTTTATTAATAAGATTGAATGACATTATTAATATTTATCAGAATTCGGGATTTCAAATACAACATACGCGTAATTGTCTTGAAAAAAATGTATATTGCATATTAGTATATCAAAATGCATTTGAAAGAAAGAAGTTTAAATCATGTTTTTTCCTTTTTAATATATTATTAAATAAATACGTCATTGCTTTATAATTAATTTTTATTTAGATTAGAAACATAACAATAAAATTATTTTTAATATGTGTCAGTTTGCTTTTGTTGTTAACGAAGAATTTCGGATTAAAATTGCGAATGCGGGTCACGGAAGGGGTCACATTAGCTAATTAATATTCCAAAAATGTAAATAAAAAAATAATGTCTATGCAAAGGGATGCGCGATAAAGTAAGACTCATTTTCTCTCCTTTTTTTTTTATCTAAATAATGATATTTACACAAAAATTTATTTAGAGGTACCGTACATATCCGAGATATACATGATTTTACTCCATATTGGTTTAATGATTAAAGAATATTAATCATATATTATTATTATACTGTAATTAAGCTATAAATTTATATTTTACTCTAGATTGCTTTTATGACATATGATAAAACTTCTTTTTGGTTACTAATTACTATCTTCTCAATATTTGTTGAAAATAGATAATTCATTTACAATCAATTAATAAATAATTAATAATTCTTACTATGTAGCTCTATATATACAATAATTTATTTTGTACTAGATAATATCATAGGGTTGTTAGAATTTATTCAATTATCAATATGTATTAATAGTCGTTATATAGTATAGTATTTATAATATCATGCTAGTTGTAAAGCTTTACTAATAAGTAGTAAAAATTCTTTCTACACTGCACTGTTTGTCAATTTTTATTACAAATGAACATCAATTTTATTAGTATAACATTATTAATTGTATTAAAGTTATTAGAATTTGTTCAACCATTAATGTAATGAATTATAATAATTTTTCTATAATTTTGACTATATAATATTAGTTATAAAAATTTTACTAATAATTTAAAAATTCTGATATTTTATATTGTTGATTGTTCTACTATTTCTCTAGTACTAGTTAGCATTTTTATTTCTATAATTTTTTTTTTTTTTTTTTTTTTTNTTTTTTTTTTTTTTTTTTTTTAAATAGTAACGCATTTTATTAATATTAATAATTATAAAACACCTAGAGCTTAAAGAATAAATTCTCTAATCCCTATATAAGTTATCAGACCAAAAATAAAGAAATACTATTCTAAAATTAACTAAAAACTAATTATGTAAAAAATAAAATTCAAATTTAATAACTATAACTTTTAATCGTTTGATCCCAAATATTATTAATATTAGATCATCTGCTATCGCTCCTATTAACCTGTTTAGCATTACCTGACTAAGATTTTTATAAAAATTCTTTTGTTGTTTTTTTAATAGATTATTTTCTGTTTTTATTTTTTTCGTTAAATTTTTTACCTCATCATCTTTTTCTTTTTTACATTTCGTTAAGTTATTGAAATTATTATTGTATACTCTTCTTAAAATTTCCCATATTCAGATTTTTCCTCTAAGTATAATGAAGGTTGTTCTAATATCCTCATGAAATCAAAATTGAAATTTTAATTTCATCTTGTTGATCGTTAGTTTCTAAAATCTTTTTGAATCTATAAATTGCTTTTTGCGCAACTTCGTCGATCATTACTTCGTTACCTTCGCAAATCCAAATATGTTTCCAAGTTTCTTTTTCATTTTTATTGCATCTCTTGCATAGATCATTGTCTATTCTATTCGTATTTCTTTTAAGAAGAGTATCATAAGTTGGCAGTTCTTTTAAAATATTTTTTATCCTATAAGATCTATCATATGTATCTTTCTGATTACATTGCCTAGAAGTGAAAATAGAACGATTACTGATAAACTTCAAAGTTGTTTCCCAATCGAATTCTTTTCTAAAATTATACATAAACAAATCATCCAATTTTTCACTATTGAGTATTTTGTTTTTCCATATCACATCTGTCACTTTTTTTCTCCAATTTCTATATCCTCCTAATACTATTTTTTTGTTCCAAATCAAATTATATTCGTTAACAAACGCTTCATCTATTATATCTATTTTATAATTCATCATCTGTATAATATTTTTATCTTTTAATATTTCTCTTGCTTTTTTCTTTTTTTCTACTAATTTTTTATATTCTTTAACTTCGTGTTCTTTCAAAACTATATTATTATTATCTAATAATTTTTCTATAAACAATAACTCTAAATAAAATTCACTGTCAATTTTTTTCCTATTACTTAAATTAGTCATAAAATCAAATAACCAATTTTTAATCTTTTCGTTAATTCCTAAAATTAAATCACTTCTTTCGCTAACTATTATTAATCCTATTATCAAACTTCTCAATAAAATTTTAAATTCATTCTCGTTAGTACACTCGTATTTTGCTAAAAGCATAACTTCATTCACAATTAAGTCATTTTCTATTTATTTCTATAATATTATTTTTTATATTTTCTATATATTAAATATAAAATAAGTTGTAACACCTTTTTAAAAAACTAGTAAAGGAGTATACTTTTATATTTGTAAATAATAAGTGTATTGAAGAAAATCTTTGATTTATAAAGACTAATTTATTTTTTATTAGTTATTTCTTAATTCTTATTGACTAAAGAGTTGAGTCACCATGATATAGCTCTGGGATCAATCAATGTGTCTAGGTATCATGACAATAGATAACAGACATGTCAATACCTCTAGTTTTTACTCCAGAAAAACTCTGCTGACATATGATCAATTTCTAAAAAATTTTTTTATTAATTGTTTTTGTGAAAATCAGATATTTGAAGTATTCTAAATTTTTAATAATGAAAGGATTCTGGCATGAAAAAACATTCCGTATAGTACTAAGTTCTTTTAATGCACCAGCTTTCAATAAATTTAGTTAATCCTGGGATATCTACTTCACAATCCCATATTGCTACTACTATATTTCTCCCATCATTTTTCTAATGCATAGTTATTAATGTTGTTGTTACCCATTTCATAAAATAAAAACTAACAAATTTTTTTAAGAGTAGATTTACCCTGATCAAGTAATAAATTCACTTAATATAGAATATAGACCATTGCAAGGAATTTACTATTACTTTATAAAAAAACTCTGGAAAAAACTCTATAAATGATCATTTTTCTAGTTTTCATTCCAAAGAAACTCAAACAAGTGATCATTTTTTGAAAAATTTTTTATAGGGTTAAGCCATGATTAATTATTATTTAAATTCAGTAGTCTCACATTCATCAATTGGCGTCAATGTTCAAATGATGTAAATAGTTTTGTAATACTACTGCATGATGAGGAGTCAGGAGTGACAAAAAGGGGAAGTTATTTAATAAAATAATTATGTAAAAAATATTATTGTTACCTGCCTATATAAAATGCAGGAACCACATAATACTTGTATATTTGATTAATAGAAGTTGAAAGTTGTTATAAACTCAGAAAACTTCATATTCTTCTATCTCGAATTCTGAAACAATGCCATAATTTTTAAAAATTCTTCATTGATTTTCAAAAATCTTTCGCGCATTTCTTCAACATCATGAAAGAAAGCGAATGTGTTCAATTGGTAAACTTGAATAATAAAAGTTCAGTTTCATCATTATTCCTTATTCTTTTTTCATAATAAATTATTTTAAAAAAAATGGAACCACATAAATATTAATATTAATATTATCAAAAAAATGTAGGTTCAATTTTCAATTTTTAAAATTACAGGAGTTGGGAGTGACAAAAAAGGAGAAGTTAAATTGTGTCACTTAAAATAATAATGATATAAATAATAAAACTATTTTAAAATATATAAAATAGTTAGAAAACTTTTTTCTGAAGAAATTATTAAGCTATATTTCATCAAATTGTGATAGACATAAGAAATATGTCCAGTTTTCTTTATGTCCAGTTGATTTTTTAATTGAGAAACTCTGAAATTTTTTTGTCATATTCAAAAATCCTTTGTAATTAAAAAAGTCAATTTTTTTAAATAAAAACTAAAAAGATTATGTTGCATTAATTAAATAATATTTTAAAATTTTGTAAGAAAAGTAAATTATACTTTTAATTGAAAAGTAAAGTTTATAATTTACCTCGTATATATTGAAAAAAAAAATAACAATAAATTAATTATAATATGATTAAATTAAATAAAGTTGATATAATCATTGAATGTTAAATTATTTAGAAGCTTATTCCCTTAATAATCTTATAAATCTTATATAATAATATGAATTTTTTCATTTGAATCCTCTAAGGAAAAGTGTGAAAATACTTGGGCTATATCATTAACTTCACTCTGTTCATCGCTGAAGTAGCCCTTATTATTATTATATTATTCCAAAAATGAATAAAACTTCCTCAGCCCATTTCAAATGGCAAACTGTGAATTCGCCAATATAACATTTGTAAATAATGAGTAAAGGGATTCAAATTAATGAGAGTTTGTGAAGTTTATCTAAAATTTTATATGAATTATTATTTAATAATAAAATTTTTTTTATAAAATTTATATATATATAAAAATTATACAAAATTTGTATTTGTTTTAAACATTAAGTCATTAACATAATTATTTTTAAATTGAACTTAATTAAGCATAATTATTTTGTGCTTAAGTATAATTACTTGTTAAAATAACTGGTGAAACTTCCCAGGTCTTAGAATTATACAATTCTTTCAGTCCATATTTATCTGGTAATGCCAAAAGGATTGTCTGGGTAAACTTTATTACAGTATTTAGCATGATGATGCAGTTTGAAACTTTATAGTACGTGCATTTTGAGACTTTATAGTATGCTCTTCAAATGCTTCTAGAAATTCTTTCAAAGAATACTTAATTTCTTGTTATAGAAGATGTGGAGATGCAATTTGTTTACACAATACACATGAGTAAGTATAAAATAACTTATATTATTTGTATTAATGATTAATGAGAGTTGAAAATATATTTTATAAACTATTCTGTGTTGATGGCACATTATATGACTGTGAAACTTCCATTAAATTATAATCTCCTTAGTCTATTTTCAAAATGGCAGAATGCTGGTTATCTGGCCAGTTAGTCCTGCTGATGCTATTATTTAGATTTGTCAGGGTTATCATTGGTTACCCTGTGTTGATTCTAAAAATAATTAAAATCACTCAATTTCCTGATGAGAAGTAAAATAAAGGTTGTATATCTCACTTTCCAATACAATATTTGGAAATTATGAATAAAGGGAATTTGTTTGATATATAATCATTGAATGTTGAATTATTTTAAAAGATTATTTCTCTAATCATATAAATATTATATATTGATAATCAGTAACTTTATAATAAATATAAAATATTTTGAACAGATAATCTATTTTGTGATAAACTAACAACAATAATAATGTTATATGAAATTTTGATTTTGAGTACAAAGCATGCTTCAAATTATTTCTATTCCAATTTCCAAGAATAAAATAAAAATCTCTCAGCTTATTTCAAAATGGCAAGATAGTAAAACTCTGTGTTCATTGAATGTCAAACTAATGAGAGTTTGCATGAGAAGTATTATTTATAAACATGTTTTTGAGCTTAATTATGCGTAATTATCTTTAAACATAATTATAAATCAGTTGATGAATTTGATGATGCATCATACATTTTGGAATGATCAATAATATGAAAATATGTATGTTGTTTAATGTAAAAGGATCATAGAATTAATAACTCTCTTTTCAATAAATTCTTATTGGGAATGCTTTATTATAGTACCTTAGGTAATGATGAATGATGTTATAAAATAAATCTAATAAAAGATGATATATTTGCGATATTTGCGGCACCACTTTAGCATTGGCATTCGATATGATGGATAAGCTATATTTTGTAATATATTAACTAAGTTTCTTATTTTAGTGTTTTTTAAAAAGTTTTTTTCTTTAAGATATCCAGAATACTTTGTGATCAAGAATAGGATATGGATTTATGTAACCAATATGATTTGATATACATATTAGAGTTGAACTCTCTATCAAGGATGATATGTATTGTATTTTTCTCCATGTCATGCCAGGACATTTTTTGTAAATTCCTGATATTATAAATGAATAAATATGATTTCATTCTCTGAATAAATTTTCAATTATTTTTTCTTCAACTTCTATTACTTCCTGATAGTTTGATAAAGATCAGAAGATTGAAATATAGCTTATACTAGTACTTCAAAACTAGAGATATTCGTAACTTTCTAGAATGAAACCTTGCGATGATAAGATTGGGATTGATAATGAGCAGCAAGTTTCTTTGGTTTATTTTCAAAAGAAAATTCCAAATAGGTATCAAAATAAAAAGTAATTAGCCAGTTATTTCAAGAGCCAAGATTTAAGTATACTAAAATTTTATATAATAAAAATTATAGCCATAATAAATGCTTTCATTTTAAGAGTGGTTGTTAAAGCCCTCCTATAAAAAATTTTTTCAGAAAATGATCATGTGTTTGAGTTTTTCAGAATAAAAACTAGGAAAATGATCATTTATCCAATTAAAATTAAAGCCAGAAAATATGCAAAAATATGTTTTTAATTAATTTCAAGTAATTGTGATACTGGTAATGACTAGTAGTTATTATTGTAAAGGTATTTATGGAATTACTATGTGTAATTCTTTTCTACTGCTCTGTTACCATACAGCCTCTCATGATACTGCAACGCCTGATTCTGCCAATGTTTCCATTTCTTGAAGTTTGTACCCATGATTTTATTGATACTATTACTTCTGTAGCTGGTACTTGTTTCACTTTAAATGCTATTACACGTGCTGATGAGCTCATTGATGCTTCTACTTCTGTTAAGGCATACTAATCTATGGTAATTATAAACTTTGGTTAAGGATAATCATATTTAATAATAGTAATATTATTTTAAGAACTGGTAATATATTGACTCATAGGATGCTTTGATATTATTTTAGATTGTTTGATATTTTGACTGGTTATAGGATTATTTGATATATTTGATATCTTTTTAGAGAACAAAAAAGAGGGAAAGGAAAAGGGGAAAGGAAAAGGAAAAGGGAAAAAGAAAAAACCATTTGATTTATCACAAATTCTTAACCAATTTATATTTAATTTTTAACACATGAAGCTTATCTGTTTTTAAGTAACACCTGGATGAAAATTCAAGTTTAAAGCAAGATATCAGCTCCAATTACCATCACAGCCACAAAATAAACATGTTAATTAAAGCTTAAAATATAGGCTTAATATTTACATTGCTAATCCTGAATTTTATCCAATATATGCACAGCATACATGATTATTTGTGATAACAGACTATTCCACACTAACTAACTTTAAAGTACCTATCATTACATAGTATTTGGTCAAAATTTGTATAAAGATAGTTGAATTATAGAAAAAGACAAGCGATTAATATGTTAATAATCAATAATACAACTTTTATTAGTAGGGTATTTTAAATTCTAAATTATACCAAACTTGTAAAGTATATATATATAAATATATATATAGTGAGAAATTTTATTTTCTATGTTTATTATGAGTAGATTGACAAATTACTATATTGCATTCTTGATATATATTCAATAAATAAATTACAATCTAATTACAATGCTTCAAGTCAATTTTCTCAATAATAAATTTGTAAGTTATTTTCATTGACTAAACCTAACCATATTTTGGATAATTAATATACTGTCTTTAAAATAAAATAAATTTCTCATAAATCATACCATTGAAAATAATTAACTAAAGAGACAATAGAATTATACTCCAAAGATCTTATACTAAAATTGAGATTTAAAATTACAATTTGACCATTATTACACTTTATAACTGAAGCTTGAATTTGTAATGTGAATCATTTATAGTACAAAAATCTTTCTTATTAATTCAATTAAGCATTAATAATTTTTATTTAACATTATTATTCAGTTCTTGAAAAAGTTAAACTTTATTGGTAAACTGAAGTCAATAAAAAAATTCTTACAACTGTTGAGTTGGAAAGATAAATTGATTCAACCCCTTTTTAATGCCTCATAGTTCTCAATTATTCAATTATGCAACATGAAATACATACATATATATATATTGTGCCACATTTATTATAGTTAAATTAATTTGGTCGGCTATCAATGTCATGATTATCATGTGCTCAAATCATGAGATTTTGTGGCTTATCCAATTCCAGATTTTTTTTTTTTGACAGGGGTGTTAGAAATTTCTCAATTTTTAAAGAATATGAAAAAAAAAATAATAAAAAGCCCTGTTATATGCTGCGCCCAATAATTGCATCGTCTAAAATATTTTTTTCCAGCTCTTACAAACCAAAATTTCTCTGAAATTTTAAAATTTTATTTATCTTTTTTTTTTTAAACCGAAAAAATTTCTTTAATTGGTTTTTTTTTAAACTAAAAGTTTTAATTTTTAAAAATATTTTATTTTGAATTTTTTTTATTATTATCTCTAAATATTTTTAATTGTTATATTAAGTTAAACTCATCAACCGTAATGCTACAGGTTATAACCAAGAATTTTCACAAACAGTTCCAAAACAATAATAAGCCAATTTCTTAGTATTATTTGTCAAATCAAACACTGTAAACATTAAATATCCTCCTATAGATGAGTGACGCAACTCTAAGATATGATTTATTATTTAAATTTTACTAGTTTCTAAAAATTGATTAACTAAAACAATAGGATTAAAAATCCATATTTTCTTTTATCAGTATCATTATTTTCTGGATTTACAGCTTCTGCATTATCAAATCAAGATCAATGATATCTTCTAATACCGAATTAGTATGTGTTGTGTTTGCATTTCTATTTCTCTTCATCATTTAAAGAGATTATTTTCACCAACAGTAGAAATACTTGCAATTTCTTTTATTTTTAATATAATGATTCATTCTTAATATTTGCCAAATAAATAAGAATGAATTTTGACATACCTTCAAGTTTTTTAACATCAGGACTTGTACGTTTATCTCCAATCATCCATTTAGGTATGGAAAAATTTCGTTCACAATCTAACTTGTGAAGGAGTCATACCAAATAGTCCTCATTTTTTATTTCTTATAGAACTCCACCAAAGATCAAGTGTATCTATACCCATTTCATAAGGCAAATCATAAGGTTTTTAATTTTTGATCAAACCACCTAAATTGACTGAGAAGATTTCATTATTCTTCAGGATAACCTAAATTCTGCCAAAGAGTTGTAGAATCCATCATCAATAACACCTAAAGCTAAAAACATTAATATTAATAAATTTTTAAAAATGATAATCAAACTTAAATATTTTACTTTTATAGTAAGGATGAAGACAATAACATAAAAAGGTTAAAAACTTGAATTGCTTCATACTTGTAAAGTTTTGAAGTTGAAATATGGCAACTTCCAATTTAATCATTTGAACAAACAATCAGCTAGAACAGCTGATTTTGCTTCAAGAATATTAATGCATTCCTAAAGCTCAAATTGAACGAATTTGACGGCAATTTATTCTCATCCTGCATCAAATAATGAACTTTAGAATTTGAAATAATATTATTATATTCTAATAATATCTATTAATAATCAAGTTAGTTTGTGATTATATAAATAATAATCATAATATCTATTAAACAATCCTACCCAGTCAAACACATAACTACGTAAAATTGAGTCTGTTGTTGTATATGACGAGCCCTATCTAGTTTTATACCATGTTTGTAATCCTTCAATCTTAATTTTCATATTTTTTAAATCTTGGAATAGAATTGTAGAAGCTTGATGTGAATTATTAAAAAATCTTGTAATTTTTCCACGATCCAAAAATAAGATCTTTAATATTATCAAGTTTTACAAGATCGTCTGCCATTAAATTAATACTGTATATATTTGAATTGAATTTCGATCTTAAATTTAAATTATGGAAAAATAAATTAATTTAAATTTTCACATTTTCCCGATTACCATTAAATAATCCGGCTAAAATATAATTTTTTAGTCGTTAATAAGAAAACTAACTTTATAAATAAAAATAATACCGTTGGCCACTGCATGTAGTATCAGACCCGGGTATTATTCACCACCCATGCTACCTAGTTCTTGAATAATACCTGGGGTATAATCTCTAATAATTTATCACTTTTCATATAATTTATATCCAAATAAAGTATCCGGTTCCTTGCAGGTACTATTCAATTTTAAAATATCGAGTTCTTGAATAAGACCCTGGGTACTATATGCAGTGGCCAACGGTAATAAGTTTATTAAGCAAAATCTTTAATAAGATTAAAAAAATTAAAAAAAAAAATTTTTTTATGATTGTCATTAAACAAGAAGCGATACTGTATTAACTGATTTAAAGAATCTCACTTAAATTTCTTACATTTTTAAATGTAATATTTTAAAAAATTACACAATATGGGCAAAATGCAAAATGTTTTATTCTTTCAGTCGCTTTTCTATATAAAAAGTATTCAAATATAATAACATTTAATGAAAAAAAAGTTACATTATATATATATATATACTGCATACGTCAAATGTCACGTATATACAGTTAATGTTTATAATATACTATTTTTAACATATCTAATATTAATGAAATAAATCTAATTCACCAGATTTAACAATATTAATTCCTTGATTCTTTAACATATCAACAATTTCAAGTTCTTCATTAGTCCAATTATATCTATACTTATTAATTCCAAATTCTTTTAAAGAATTATGAACCTTTTGAAAATTATATACATAAATCAAATATTCCTTGCATAAAGAATTATTATCTAGGGTAATAATCCATTTTTTTAAATTAGCCTTACAGTAATTAGTAAAATAAATAAAACTTAGTAAATCAACATTAAAATCAAAAAATAAATATTCAACAGATGTTAAATGATTGCCTAAGCTTTTAACCAATGAACTCATATCAATTCCATAATCAGGTCCAATGTTTAGAACTTTTAATGAACGTAATTCACAGATAAATGGAATTACTGAATCAGAACATATTTGTATGCATAAAGAACTAATATTTGGGCAAGATTCTTTTACTGTTTCAGCAGCTTTTGGAGTGATATAACTCAAAGCTAGCTTTAATAATGATTCATTACAAAGATAACTAATAATTTCTTCTATGGAAGCCCCAGTACTAGTACAATACCAAAGTTTGAATTCTTTAAGATGTAATTTACTCCCAGATTGAATCTTACAACGATTGAAACCTTTACAGTATAAAAATTCAAGTAGTTCTAAACATTTTAATTTTGATATAAATGATAAATTAATATATTTAAAATCAACACTATCAAGTATTAGTTCTTTCAAAGTTTCAGATCGAAATTCCAATCCCAAGTTAAATGAAATTTTTTCACTATTATTGATATATATAAATAATCTTCTTAAAGGTTGAAATTTGATAATATCCATATATTGCTTCACATATATGCCATTGAGAGATTTAATCCATAGTTCCATATTAACAAAATGTAGAAATCATATTTAAAAATTTGGTGGTATTCTTACGTTTTGTATCATTACTTATTAAATCTAAATTAAATATAGTTAAAGTACTTAAATTTTAAATCCAGGTTCATAATTTGTAAAAATGGAAGATTTTGGTAAGTCAACATAACCTTTCTGGGCTACATTTACTTCAAACTCCTCTAAGAATGAGCTTTTTTGAATTATCATATTATATATAGAATAAATCAACTTTTCTCTGCAATTAGAATAATCATTTCCACTTAATAATTCAGGTAAGGATTTGATAAATTGTTCGATGTGTTCCACACAACAATCATGATTTAATTTTTTTATGAATCTTTCATATTCAAATAAAGGAGGTTTAATATTAAATTTTATCGCACAAGGGATTAATAAAGAAATTTCATCCTCATTAAGACATGCAAGTAATGTTTTTATTAATGAACGGCTAATAGAAATTGAAAATTGCTTGATAAAGGGTTTCTCCAAATAATTGGAATAGTAACTTTACAGTAATATCTATTAACAAATAAACATTTGTATAAAGATTTATTATCAAGAAAAGAGAGTATGTTATCGAAACATTCAATTGGCAATATTGGCAAAGACATTACTGACATGACTTGTGATATGACTTAAAAAAAAAAAAATAGGGAAAGAGAGGAAGAATATGTAAAATTTTGAATTTGACGTACAAATTCCTATTTTATAGTACTTAATGTGATACAAAAATTCTAAATGGCCATTTAGAATTTTTGTATGGAAACAGATTAAAAAAATTAAATTTACCCTAAAACTAGAGTAACTTGGTAATTGTTAGTGAGTTATAATCATTATACTGTCAGATTGACTCGAAAATTTTGGGTCGGGTCATCAAACGTTTTTATAATTAAATATAAAAAAAATTGATTTTTTTTTATTAAAAACGTCAGACTTGACGTTTTTATGATTAAAAAATCATTTTTATGTTAGATTTGATTAAAAATCAAAAAAATTGATTTTTTTGGTTAAAAACATAAGACTTGGCGTTTTTGTAATTAATAATCAAAAAAAAATGATTTTATTAATTAAAAACGTCAGACTTGACGTTTTTGTAATTAAAAAATCAAAAACTGAATTTTTTTAGTTAAAAAACGTCAGACTTGACGTTTCTGTGG